GCTCCCGATTGCCGGGGATTGCCCCCAAGGTGGGACAAAGAGCACGCTGGAGATCAACTAGCAGCAATTACCATTCGAGACAGCATCTCCGGGTTTTGTACTCAATAAATCCTCCTCCGGGTGGATTCAAAAGTTACGACTTTCGTATTGTGTTCTTCATTGGGGATTCCAAAGGGCGTAATTAGGCGTTGAAACACCTCAGGTGTCACCGTTATAACAGAAACCTCAACAGCAACGCAGGAGAAAGGAAGGGCATTCCCGTCTGCTAACAACGTACCTTATAAGGGCAAGCAAGGCATGTGCGAGCATGTTCAAGATCGGCCTGGAATCCACTTTCATATCTAATCAGAACTATGTGAGTTCCAAAATCAAAGTCTTAAGTAGTGCTTCTAATTTTTCTACTCATCACCTTAAAGGCAAGCTCCTCGAAAGCAGTTCATTACCAAAGGTTAAACCCTGCAGTCTACTTAAATGCCTTTCGGAGAAAATTGCGTCATCCATTTCACTTTACAGCGCAAGATTATGTCTCCTTTTCCGACTATTTTAGTATATGCGCGGCGGTATGTTGACAGCACTCTATGCCTCTGTAGAAGGAACGCATAAGAATGAGGAGGCCGAGTTCCACCTCAAGACGGATAACAAACTCGTGGGCAGACCACGCATTCGGCAGGTCAGAGTGCGCGGCGTGGAGTGTGCCATCCCAAACAGCATGAAAAAATACCTAAGTGTATGCTATCCGAACTTCGCTGCGGAATTCGAATGTACGGCGGAGTTGGAACCGAAATTTAGGAAAAACGTCACCCACAGCGCGGGCGCGTGAGCAATGTTTTTACTTGTTACTTGCTATTTATGAGTAGGCAGTATTTACAAACTTAAATGTCCTGCTCGGGAACAATCACATTTGCAGGGCGTTGGACGTGAACCTATATGCACAATGCTGGATCTCAAAAAAAAAACAATAAACTGTCAAATACTATACAAACACAAATAAAAATCCTTCTGTTTGCAAGTCGCACAGAGGTTACGAGCACATAAAATTACTAAAAATCTTACCACATCTCTTACGACCTCAGAAATGGATGAGTTAACTTATGCACGTATCCCTTCAACCCGCACGTACAGTGTGCCACAAAGCTCTGAAAATTGACAAAACTATTTAAGTCTCGAGTAAATAGTAAATGCTTATTTTGGTAGAAGGCCAGGTCATGGTCAATGTATGCCCAGATAGCTTGCTAATTTGCACTTCACTCTGCGCAGGTATTTGTTTGACATTTTTTTCTAACTAGCATTAAAGTTATACTCAGAGAAAATACTGCTTACTCCGTACAGTTTTCTGGTAACGGATGCTGTTTGCTTTCATTATGTTTATATAAAACATATCTTTTTTCCTTAATATTTACTAAAGTAAACTCTTTCTGAGAGGTATTTATATTAACACACAGAGCAGATATACTACATCAGCTGGACACCTTTTGCTGGAGGTATAAGGTAAAACTTGAGTTGTTGTCAGTTAAAAATCAAACATCTACCAAGTTAATGTGGTAAGAACAATTTAAAATGCAGGTTTTGCTCCAATTTACATAGGATTTGTCAGACTCTTGAAACCGATGCACTTTCTTCACTGAACCGCCAAATCCGAGAAAGCAATTTGGCAAAACTGATTTTTAGGGCCCCTCTAGATATCTATCCACCGCCCATTTGCTTAACTATTTTGTGGTTAAACATTTACTTATTGGCTAGCAAGCTTAAATTAATGTTTAATTGAGGCGAACGTGTTCAAAACATTTAAATTAAATATGATTATGTGTGTTTTAATATGCTAAAATAGAATCAACTCTGACCAACGTGAACTTCTTTTGCGCATGTAACGAATGCCAATTAGGGGAAATTCGACCTTCGTACGCGGAATTTAACGAAAATGGAAATTCGTCCTTCTGATGGTGGAATTTAACAAAAAAATTACAGTCGAGCTACTGAATATTCAGAAGTAGTTTTTTATTATAAGTCGACGGGATTTTTGCGGCCTCTAAAATCAGTCCTGACAGGAATTTCTTAAAATATGAGCATAGAATTTTGTTTGAACATTTTACAGCCTTATGCCGCACACCTTAAAGCCATATTTTAAATTTATTACCATAAACAATGACGCAGCCAATATTTTACGAAATTCACCTCCTATATTAAATTGATTAAATAGTTTACGTCTTTATTTTTTTTCATTCTCTGACTGAAAACTGTGTTCTGGCATTTAAAAATGAGCTTTTCCTGTAGAGTTGGGGCACTATGTTAAATTCCAAAATTTTAGATCGACTCCTCTAAATCCGAAATGTGATTTCGATTTGGTGAGATGCTTGTTAGTAGCACGCTGATGTGACTATGAGCGGGCAAAACTCCCTACTTTTCTCACCGAAGTTACAAAATTAAGTTTTTCACCCTCGCGAAGACGTGCCTTGCTGTAAATCCTTCCTGCCCTTTTACAGCTGGACTTGGAGAAGTGCGGAGGAAGCCGGTGGTGGAAGAACTGATGGAGAGATTACAAGTTATCCGGCGTCCGGATATGTTATCGACCTGTCCACAGAACAGAATAAGACGGAAGCAATACTAGAGGAGTTATTTAGAGGGCTTTGGACGAACCAGGCTACGCGAGCAGTTATAATTGATTTTAATCTCTACAACGCCAATCTCAACCTCTTCTGCATTGGCCGGCAAGTCCACGCTTACTGAAAATGTTAAACATACTCCTACTTATACTATTTGAGTACAATTTAATTCTGCTTCTTTATCTGTTTGCTCACTCATTGACAGGATTCTTTTTGAAACGCCCTACACCGGTGGAGTGATCAGCTCGGCCGTTTTTCGGCCTCTGCGTCTCATTCACGGGAATGGCGCCACGGCTAAGTGCGTGCTTACATGTGAGATTATTACGTTGGTCTTCGTAGTCTATTTCGTCATTGAGGAAATTCTGGAGGTAAGTTTTTCCACCTATCTACTTTTATTCGCTGACCGAAATGGTGAAGATTGGAAAGAAAAAGCCTTTTGGTAATCTACAAATTTGCTTTAATATAAA